GGTCTGGCGTATGTTTATTTAGGAACGGATATGCGGACAATGCTCCATTCAAAAGTTTATCCGTCTAAAGTTAAAGCGGGTTAGCAATAAGCTATTGAAGTGTCAGTTTACCACTGGGGCATAATTTTAAACTCATTTTGGAAAAGAAATGCCAACATGATTTTAAAACTGATCACCACAAATGTGCAAAATTATAAAAAAAAAACACTATTATCAATGGTCACTAAAACCAAACAAAAATACAACAGAAAAGGCGTTTTTCGTCTTTTGTGCAACATTTTACGATATACAGTTTGATTTTTTTTCGCATAAAATGGTAGACCTGACAGAATGCTTCGAAATAAACCCAAGGTTCTCGATTCGATTTTTAGTTGTTCTCGAGTTATGGCCCTTTATCGATTTTTAAACTATTTTTTCAAAGTCCATAAAACCCTTAGATTTATATGCCGTTTGAAAGATCTTTGCGAGTAGATACAGAAAATGTATTATTATATGGATCTATCTCTTACCGTTTTTGAGATAGGAGAGTTTGAATATGGCAGACAAAATCACTCATGCATATATAATACGTATAACTTTTTTGTTACTGGACATAACATAGGCATGTTGCATATCAAACGAAAGGTCTTGACAAATGCTACGAGTTCGTACTGTTAAACCGAGAGTGAAATCACTCATGCGTAAAAAACATTAAAATAACTAAAATAAGCTTACCCCAGTCTTTACTCCTCGCCTATTAAACTATTTATGACAATTTACGACAGGTTTAAACCGGTATTGCTATTTTTGATCAGTCCAATGAAATTGAAAAACGATGACGTCTAACAATAGACAGCCTCGTTTTGAACCACTCTTTTTCATTAACCAATGAAAAGTGGAGAAGGATAACTGGATAAATTTTGACATAAAAAACGCATTTTTTTGTCTTTTATGCAACACTTTACAATATCGATTTTCAAGATATTTGTTTCATTTGATAGACCTTACCAAATGCTTCAAAATAAACCCTAGGTCCTCGATTAGATTTTAAGCCGTTCTCGAGTTATGGTCCCTTAAGCGATTTTTAAAACCAATTTTTCAAAGTCCATAAAAAACGTGAAATATATATACCGTTTGAAAGATCTGTGCGAGTAGATACAGAAAATGTATTATTATATGGATCTATCTTTTACCGTTTCTGAGATAGGAGAGTTTGAATATGGCAGACAAAATCACTCATGCAGAAAAACGCGCATAACTTTTTCGTTTATGAACGAAACATAGGCTTGTTTGGTATCAAATTGAAGGTCTTGACGAGTACATTTTACTTACGCGATCAAACCGGATGTTAAGTCACTCGTGCGTGAAATTCATTTATTCTCCACAACCAACGGACCGATCTTATCAATACCTGTATCGAACGAAAGGTATTACTCACTAAATTCAGAAAATGTATATTTTTGTATCGCTGACTTGGATAGGGCACGAGATATGAAGTAAAATCACTCAAGCGTAAAATGTGGAATGACGCCTTCCTTAGTCAACATAACCCGGTCATGTTTGGTATCGTACGAAATGTTTTAAGGTGCTCTTTATGAATATGGACTAAAAATCACTAGTGCATAAACGCTCTATTTCTATCAAACATTCTTCATTGAAAATACTGTACTTGAAATATAAACTCAACTTACTGCGTAATGATGTTTACTCTTTGACGTCCAATCACCAAATGGCTGAGTCACCACTGCGATACATTATGCGCATGCGCTGATCTAAATTTAGAAATGACATTGTCCAATCTAACAGCAGTTGGTCTTTTCTTACGGACTGAATGTATCCAATCAGACAGAAGATTTATTTGACCAATGATTTTGGTCACGTGACTATTTATAACATAAATAGATGAATAACGTCATGCCAAAAATAGCAGCTAATCAGATTTTAATACGTGTGTATAAAAAAGAATGTTTTTTTGCGTAAATTTTATCACTGGAAACAGGATTTGTCATCTATTAATCTCCTGCTCCTTCAACACCACCACCATTAATCTCCTTCTCCTTCACCACCACCACCGCCGCCGCCGCCGCCGCCACCACCACGACTACCGCCACCGCCACCACCACCACCACCACCAGGAACCATCACCACAACCATCTCTTACCGTTTCTGAGATAGGAGAGTTTGAATATGGCAGACAAAATCACTCATGCGGAAAAAAGCGCATAACTTTTTCGTTTATGAACGAAACATAGTCTTGTTTGGTATCAAATTGAAGGTCTTGAGGAGTACATTTTAGTCACGCGATCAAACCGAATGTCAAGTCACTTGTGCGTGAAATTCATTTATTCTCCCCAATCAACGGACCGATCTTATCAAAAAAAGAGTAACAGTGATTTTTAGTCCGTATTCATAAAGAGCACCTTAAAACATTTCGTACGATACCAAACATGACCGGGTTATGTTGACTAAGGAAGGCGTCAATCCACATTTTACGCTTGAGTGATTTTACTTCATATCTCGTGTCCTATCCGAGTCAGCGATACAAAAATATACATTTTCTGAATTTAGTGAGTAATACCACTCGTTCGATACAGGTATTGATAAGATCGGTCCGTTGGCTGGGAGAATAAATGGATTTCACGCACGAGTGACTTAAACATCCGGTTTGATTGTGTTAGTAAAATGTACTCGTCAAGACCTTCAATTTGATACCAAAACAAGACTATGTTTCGTTCATAAAACGAAAAAAATTATGCGCGTTTTTCCGCATGAGTGATTTTGTCTGCCATATTCAAACTCTCCTATCTCAGAAACAGTAAGAGATAGATCCATATAATAATACATTTTCTGTATCTACTCGCAAAGATCTTTCAAACGGTATATATATTTCACGGTTTTTATTGGACTTTGAAAAATTGGTTTTAAAAATCGCTTAAGGGCCATAACTCGAGAACGGCTTAAAATCGAATTCGAGGAGCTAGGGTTTATTTTGAAGCATTTGGTATGGTCTATCAAATGAAACAAATATCTTGAAAATCGATATTGTAAAGTGTTGCATAAAAAGACAAAAAAGGCGTTTTTTATGTCAAAATTTTATCCAGTTATCCTTCTCCACTTTTCAATTTCATTGGCTGATCAAAAAATAGCAATACCGGTTTAAACCTGTCGTAAATTGTCATAAATAGTTTGATAGGCAAGGAGTAAAGACTGGGGTAAGCTTATTTTAGTTATTTTAATGTTTTTTACGCATGAGTGATTTCACTCTCGGTTTAACAGTACGAACTCGTAGCATTTGTCAAGACCTTTTCGTTTTGATATGCAACATGCCTATGTTATGTCCAGTAACAAAAAAGTTATACGTATTTATATGCATTAGTGATTTTGTCTGCCATAATCAAACTCTCCTATCTCAAAAACGGTAAGAGATACATCCATATAATAATACATTTTCTGTATCTACTCGCAGAGATCTTTCAAACGGCATATAAATCTAAGGTTTTATTGACTTTGAAAAAATAGTTTAAAAAATCGATAAAGGGCCATAACTCGAGAACGCCTAAAAATCGAATCGAGAACCTTGGGTTTATTTCGAAGCATTCTGTCAGGTCTACCATTTTATGCGAAAAAAAAAATCAAAATGGATATCGTAAAATGTTGCACGAAAGACGAAAAACGCCTTTTCTGTTGTATTTTTGTTCGGTTTTAGTGCCCATTGATAATAGTGTTTTTTTTTTTATAATTTTGCACATTCGTGGTGATCAGTTTTAAAATCATGTTGGCATTTCTTTTCCAAAATGAGTTTAAAATTATGCCCCAGTGGTAAACTGACACTTCAATAGCTTATTGCTAACCCGCTTTTACTTTAGACGGATAAACTTTTGAATGGAGCATTGTCCGCATATCCGTTCCTAAATAAACATACGCCAGACCAAGTGGCAACTTTAAAGATATTCATTTTAACACTTAAATGGACCTTTGTTTAACTCTTTCGAACTTAAATCAACACATGGCAAATAATGTAAACAAGCTAGCCTTGGCACATGAATAGACCATTTTTTAAAGGGTTTTCCCTTTAAATAAACAAAAAAGCCAAACATTTGGGGCCCGCAAAAAAAGGAAATTTAAATTTGACGTTGAATGGACATTGCCCCGCAATCTGTTTTTAAATAACAGGACCCAAAACCTCGTGTAATTTAATGGGATTTTTTTTTGGACAGTTGAAGGGGCCCTTTGTTCGCACATCTGCTTTTAAAATCACAACCCCAAATAAGTAAAAGCTACCCCTTGGCATTAAAATAGCCCCATTTTGTTAATTACCCGTCCTAAAAAAATACCCCCAAAAAGTGGGGTGACTTTTAAAATTTCAAATTTGACATTTTACTTTAAAATGTCAGCCCGGGTCAGCCTTAAAAAAATAGCCCGCGACTTTGTTTAGTTTTTTTCTTTCCCTTGGGGGAGTCGTCATCAGATTCAAGCATGCGCATTAAGGGATAGTACTTTTAATATTGGAGTCATTTCGTTGCTGGAGCTTAAGGAGTAAAGAGGTAATATTTTTATTAAATGTTTATAAAGAAATACTTAAAATGAATATGTTAATAACCTTATTTGAAAATGTATAAGATAAATTATGTATTAAGGGTATATTTAAAATATGAAGAAATACATTTAAAATGTTAGTTATTTGAGTTAAATTAAACGTGTATTATAGAGAACATTGATTAAAAGTAATAATTAAATCAGTTGTCAAGTACACTGTACGCAGTGTGGGAAATATAAAAACAAAGGGAATCATTATTTTTGCCATTCAATTTTAAAATGCTTGGATACTAATTTTATCTCCCCGTCTTGGGCCGAGGACCTGACCCTCAATGTCCGCGATTCACGCCCTAGATCGGGTATACAAGTTAGCTCCGTATACTTCCGGGAGATTAAAAATAGAACGATGATGTCATTCTAAAAATAGACAGATGAAGTCATTCTAAAAATAAACCGATGATGTCATTCTAAAAATAGAATCCAATATGGCGCCGCGCATGCGCAGTCGTGGCGTTAAAGAGGCGCCTATACTACTAGTATGGAATAGTGATGTTTTTCAATTCTGCAAAGTGTTTAAATTATAGAATATATAAAACTCAATTTAAATTAGAACATTATTTACTATATATATATGTGTGTGTGTTAACCAAGAAATTTAGCAATTACTCTTTGTAAATTTAGATGTCTCAGTTCTAATATTCCTATAGAGAAAGGTCGCTATTTTGGTATTGAAAGAGTAAATAGAACATGCTCACTTTGTAACCAGCAAGAAATAGGTGATGAATTTCACTATATTTTCAAATGTACTCATTTTACTCATTATTCAAGGTTTCCTAGTATTTTAAATTTTCAGGGTCTAATGTGTAGCGACAACAGAAATACTTTATTTAATCTAGCCATTTTTGTCAAAGCAATAATGCTGAAATTCCACTAAGTCATCTTCCTTATTTACTTATTTACTTCTATGCCGTGTTTGTATTATTTTTTTTGTTTTGTTTGATTGTTCACTCTTATGCTTTTAAGGGCCATGAGTCTTTGTTTATGAATAAATAAGAAAATAAAGTAAGTAGTTTGTTTTCTTTAAAGCATGAAAAAAACATTTGATGTTTTAGCAAAAATGGTGTATAGTATAATTGCTATAAAAAAGAAAAGAAGCAAACATTTTTTTATGAAAATTCATAATTTATGATAAAGTAGGCTTCTTGGTTTATCTAGGAATGGTTGTACGGCAAAAGCAGACGTATCAATTTGAAATGTCTCGCTGTAAGATCAAGAAATATTGGGACATTGACAATTATCAACAATAGACATGTTCATGACAACAAATGCGGAAAGAAAAGTTCAGTGTCGGAAGCTACTACATTTGATCTTGGTATGATTATATCACAATGTTTCAATATATAAGTGATAAAATTCATAAAGGATTACTAAACTCACTGACTTTAACATGAGGGTTTGCTACTTATTATACATCCTTCGTTGTTTTGTGTGCATGCGTGCGTGTGTGTGCAGGCGTGTGTGCGCCTTGCATTGCCTGTACGAAATTTTCTGCACGGAAATGGGGCGGAATTCAAAGGCAGATTCCGCCCAGAAATTTAAATTCTCCCCCGAATATACAAGTGTTAAACCATTTGCTTTTGGCACGGATTCCGGCCGGATTCCAGGCGGAAATGGAACGGATTCTGGGCGGAATTGGGACGAAATATGCAAATGAGTTGGGACGGAATTTTGAAGCGGAATCTTGGGGCGGAATTTTGAAGCGGAATCTTTGGGCGGAACCTTGGGGCGGAATTTCGGAGCGGAATTGTCAAACAAGATTCTGGGCGGAATTCTGTGACAGAATTCAGGGGGCGGAATTTTATGAGTTTATCATGATCACATATTTTGGGATAAAATTATCAATAATGCATCACATTAAATTTTCTTTCACAAAATTTAATAAAAAAAATATCATATCCTTAAGTCCAAATACAGAATAGAATACCCTACATTCACTATAACACAAACAGTTTTTTTCTAGCTGCAGGTTTTGGAATCTTAGAATCCAACACTTTGTTGTTTTTTTTTGCAATTATTTTGCTGGAAGTGTTTCAATCATAAATTTGTTTCAAATGTTTCTTATTATTTAAATTACTATTTCTTTAATCCATGTCTGTTTTAAGTCCACTGCCTGTGTTTCCTAGAACTTCTTCTGGTTGTGCTCACCTTTAATAATAAAATTCATAATTAATTAAACAAATATTTTGTAATGAATTGAGCCATGTCATGACAAAACCAACATAATGGGTTTGCGACCAGCATGGATCCAGACCAGCCTGCGCATCCGCGCGGTCTCATCCGGATCCATGCTGTTCGCTTACAATCCCTATTACAAGTAGAGAAACTGATAGCGAACAACATGGATCCTGATCAGACTGCGCTGAGGCGCAGGCTGGTCTGGATCCATGCTGGTCGCAAACCCATTATGTTGGTTTTGTCATGACATGGCTCAATTATGTTTTATTGCATAATTATATGCAGTTATATTTTATATTTTTTAATAATATCAAATTTTATGTTTCAACAGTATTAAATATTAACTATGCTTATAAAGCATATTCAAAAATACTAAAGCAACACAGAATCAGTTATTCAAGTGTACAAGTGTTTAAGAATTGCTCTGTATAAGAATTAATGACTGCTTTATGTGTGACACTATTTAATACTGGTTATGTAGTTTTCAAGGAAAGATGTTGAATAGTTAAGTATAGAGATTTAAAAATATACCTTTTCAGGATTAATACTGCACATCATTATTAAACACCTGGCATCTCACAGTCAGCACTTAAGTCCCTGAGCAGCCTGCAAATTATGAGTGTTAAATGTAATTTTAGATTGTTCCATAGGAAAGACAACACAAACATGTAAAATAATAAATGATTATGATGACCATGTTCAACTGTACAAAACTACTGATTGTACCATTTAGTCCTATTTAATCAAATTTATTTAATTTGTTTAATTAAATCCAGGAAATGCAAAAGATATACTTACATGCTATTTATACAATATAGATTTACACAACCATTATATTAACAAAAAAATCATTGAATAATTTTAACTTGCAAATTATACATGTATTAAAGATTTAAAACAATTATCAGAAAAAAAAAACAAATGTATGAAGTTGAAAATACTAAAACAACAATGACCTCTTGTTACAAATTTTAGTTGGCTACTTAGTATTGATAGTCGTCATATAAAATTAATGTAACTAAAAGTTAATAATTACCTGATTATGTTATACATCTCCTTGTCCCATGTTATCATACCAATTACTTTAACACTTTGAGATCTTAAACAAAACTTTACTCCAAAATTGTTAAAATATCAAGTACATCCTCCACTCTTTTTGCTGACCCAGATATCTTAGAATTCAAAATTCACAACAGTTTACTGTATAATGGACCGGTCCATCATTATGTAAAACAGGGTTAATTTACTCATCATCTTAACTTTCATTCATTGAATGTAAAAGAAAAATCAAATAACAAATAGATATATATAAATTTTAAAAAACAATTACAAATTTTTGTACAAAAAAATTGCAATATGTCCTAGACAAATTCTACATATGCAATTTATAATGTTATCTCTCCCCAAAATAATTACATGGAACAGCCTGATCTGTTGGAATGACCAGTCATGCGTAGATGATGGGAAACTGCTGGTCAGTAGAGTTTTATCAGAGCTCTGATCTGTGTAGTGTAAAATCTGGGTGAATATAATCTCAGTGAGAATATACATTGTAGTATTTATTTACCTACCGTAAATAAAAGCAATTATTGGGCATATTGGTTGATCAATTTTATATAGATTAAAAGGGCATTATATATGAGATTATTTCATGCACTGTTTTGTTTTGTTTATTTTTTATAACAAAATCATGAATTCTTAGAATTTAAAATGGCAAGCACACTTATAATCTTGTCCCTATGTGACTGCCCTATATTCTATAGTATATTCAAATTTAAAAAGCATTCTTATTTTAATGTTGCTTTTAGATGATGTCCTAAAATCATATTTAAAATTCATAATACAGTAAATGTATTATAATACAAGCTGTATGAAAAATCTTTATATTATAAACTTAAGCATTTTGGAGGTGAATGTTTTCAAATTCTACACTAAGATTATTACAGTTTTTCAGTACAAAAAATATAAATTAGTCTGACAATGTATTATTAATGCCACATTTTTTATCTAAAAAGAAGGCCTATTTTAATGTCTAAAAAAATAATATATTAATTCTAAAAATACACCTGTAATTATTGGTTCAGCAAAAAAAATAAGTACAGGTAAAATTTCAATGTCTGCAAGTGCAAAAACAGGAGTACAATTATGATTTGGACATCTTATATGTGAAATTCTGTTCAAGAAAAATGTTTAAGTATAGAATTCCGCCCGTAGTGAAGACTATTCCTACCCAAAAAAATTTCAAAGTTGAAAATTCTGTCCAAGATGAAATGTTTAAGTATAAATTCTGCTCCAAATAAAATTCCAGCCGGAATTTTTCTAGTTTTCCGCCCAGAAAAGTGAACAAAATATTTTTCTTGTGAGACAGAATGGCACGGATTTTGCGTTTCCGTCCCTGGTCCGCCCAGAAATCACTGATTCCGTGCCAATTCCGTGCCAATTCCGCCCAGAATCCGTGCCAAAATTTCGTACAGGTAGGTTTTGTTAGTTTTTTTTATTGTCTTTTATTTCGTTTTCTTTTCTTTGTGTGTGTCGGGTGGGGGAGGGGGGGGGGGGGGGTATATGATACTCTATGTCATATAAATTCAGGAAATTGTCTGGTGAGCGTTTCTTTTACCAGAATAATATGTACTAGCAACACCAGGGTAAGACTTTCTTTATAATTTCTCTGGAGAGACTGCACATATCTAATATGTTTTGCACTGAAATAATCAGACTTATATACAGTACATGTTTATGTTTACAGGTTGTCGAATAAACCAGACATCTATTACAGTCGATAGCTGTTTAACAATGGAATTTTGGAAATTAAGCCGCCATTTTGATTTCAAAAGAAGTCGGATAAAGGTGTATTGGGAGAACATCTGCATGCATGTATTTGATGCCTCTCTAACTGTCCGTTATAGTGACCCGGTAAGTATACATGTAATTTATGCCTCTCGAACATAGTGACCCGCTATATAAGTGAACTTGTATTTGATGCCTCTCAAACAAAGTGACCCAGTAAGTTAACCTATATTTAATGCCTCTCGAACATGTGACTCAGTATATAAGTGTACATGTATTTGATGCCTCTTTAACAGTCCGTTACAGTGACCCGGAAAGTATACGTGTATTAATTTATAATTCCTGCCGCAATGTTATTGCACATGGCAACAGTCAAAAAAAAACAGCCGAGTGTCATTACATAACGCTTTCAACAAGTTAATTTTATTATTATAAGAATAGGATAAAAAGGCAGATGTGTAACTACATGACCAATAATAATATTCCAAGACGTTATCAAAATATATAATTTTACATTAGATAAAGGTTTAATTCACTTCTCCCTCGTCTGCCTATCCGTCTATCCGTCACAAAACTTGTTCTGACAACTCATAACATACTGGTCCAAATTCATCCAAACTTTAAGGTATGGTCTAAACCAAATTGTGCACATCCGGCATTTTCTAGTTCAATGATTTTTGTAAGAGCTATGACCCTTTGATTATTGTTTTAAGTTTTGTTTATATACTTATGTAATTTGACTGAAACTTAACAGGATTGATCGGTACCTCAATTCATGTGCATATGGGTTTTCCGATTGAATGATTTTGGCTTTTGATAAGGTATGACCCTTGAGTAAAAAAGAGCGTTTCGGCCAGTTAATGATTTTTGTCCCCAGTTACACAGAAGTTGCAACATGCTACAAAGTATTCGCAATATATAGGGAACAAACTGTCCAATCGTGCAGCTACTTAGTTGGCCATCATCATGCGACACATGTTATGTTAAACTAATTTAACAATACCAATCCCAAAATCTAATTCTGACAATAAGGATAGTTTGTACCACTCCCAATACTGATACTGTGCATGAGGAGTGAGGACTGCGTGTAGACTTAATAGCGACCAGAGAAATCTTGGGGTAATGTTTAATTATCGTGTGTATATGTAAAATTTTGTTTCGAGAAATATTTAGATATACAATGGATTACCTTTCAATCTCTGTAAAATACTTTGAAAGTTCAGAACTATGAACCACTTATTACCTATAGAAAAAGGTAGACATTTACATATTGAAAGAAACCATAGAATATATGTATGTCATTTATGTCAAAAACAATCTCTTGGGGATGAATTTCACTACTTAGTTGAATGTAACTTTCTTTAATTCTCTTCGTAAAAAGTTTATTGATAAAAAAATCTCAAATCATCCTAATATTTATAAATTAGAATCTTTAACGAATAGCGCTGACCATTCATTAAAACTTGCATTATTCTGCAAAATTATTATATGACAATCCAAACAACTCATTCTCCTGTATGGTATGATTTTCTCAACCTGTATGAGTGTATGAACATATATATAATTGTGATAGAATTTATGTAAGACAAATTGTGGGCAAAGAGTAAAGTTAAGTCAAATACCTATATGTATATATGTTTTGTTAACCACTTTTGAATAACTGTTCATTATATTGTAAATCTCTCAAAACCTTATGCATATTATATGCCTTGGTTTTGAATAAAATCTTGACATCTTGAACACTTGGTCTGCACTTGTTGCATTGGTAGAATTAGTAGCGCCCAGCAGATAGAGAGTTTAGTCATACTGACAAAAATATCATTTTATTTCGTTAACAGATGAAGCTGATTTTGCCAGTTTATAGAAACGGGACATACTACATTAAAGTAAGTCTAAAACTTAATATAAATATGTTAAAGCTTGCATACTCATTTTTTTTCTTTTTGATGGGTTTAATTTCTATTAAAAGGGAGAGTCCGTTGGAGAATAACAACCGTTAATATAATGGAAAATGCAAGCTCGGTAATTATGAATTCGTTCATAAACTCTATGAGTATGCCCGAGTAACACAGCCCCATTATCCTCTAAATCAACATAGACGCTGATTAGGTCAATAAATGATCCCATAGCAGATGTCACTCCTTGGCTTTGTCAGACGTATGCCACATACACTTGGGGTCAGACTTTACCACCCCCGCACCCTGCTTTAACCGCCCCTGTTAACTGTCAATAAATGTTTGTCTAGCATTTTAACACAAACGAGGTTTTAAAATCATTTCTAAATGAATAAAAAAAATCCCATTTTGCATTGATTTAGTAAGAGACTTGACAGTAAATGAGATTTTTATGGAAATGATTTAAAAACTAGTTTAATGATAAAGACAGATACCTCGTGTGTGTTGCAAATGTTAAAAGTTTTTATTGACTGTTTAAATGGACGGTTTAAGTCGGGGGATAGGGTCAGACCTCCAAGCGTGTTACATATAATTATAGCTATATATGTTCATTTATTGAACTATTCTGTCGTTATAATTCATAAACTTTAACCATCTATGATATTAACTATTTTGTCCATGAAGGCATTTGTACGGTGTCCTTATCGTGCCATTTAGAATGTCGTCCGTCGCGTCTAAGGGTAGACACACGACAATGCGAAGTGACATCGCGACAATGCGAAGCGACGCTCGACAACGCGAAGCGATATGCGACAATGCGAAGCGACGCTCGACAGTGTCAAACGATATGTCGCACTGTCGCCTAGAAATGTCGCGGTAAAAAAGGGCGACATTTAAGTAATGTCGCTTCGCGTTGTCGAGTGTCGCTTCGCATTGTCGAGCGTCGCTTCGCGTTGTCGCGATGTCACTTCGCGTTGTCGCGATGTCACTTCGCGTTGTCGCATTGTCACTTCGCATTGTCGAGTGTCGAGGTTGGTAGAAGTGCATACCACGACACTCGACAATGCGAAACGACAACGCGACAATGCGATATGACGCTCGACAATGCGAAGTGACACTCGACATCGCGAAGCGACATTTTTAAAATGTCGAGTAAATGTCGCGTTATTTTTATGATTTTTACACCGCGACGCTCAACATTGCGAAGCGACACTCGACAATGCGAAGCGACACTCGACAATGCGAAGCGATACTCGACAACGCGAAGCGACACTCGACAATGCGAAGCGACATTTGGAATAATATCGTATCGCATTGTCGTGCGTCTACCGGTGCTTGGTCAGAATTTACTAACTCACCGACAAACGGTGCGATCATGGAAGGGGTCGCACTAAACTGCTGACGAATTAGCTGACGATATAGAATATATAGGAAACTGCTGACCAGTTAAACAAAGAAGGATTATCGAAAACTGCTGACCAGTTAGATAAAGAAGGGAAAACAATGAAGGTGTCAAATTGCCGTTGGTGATATTACAGGCGAGGTCGAGAAATACTTGATAAAATGTTCTTTCAAGATGTCAATATTACAAATGATACATATTAATTATAAAAAATTCAATTGATATATACTGTATATTTCTCAATTTATTTTGATATAATATTTTATTTAAGTACCTTAATGAATTTTCTTCTATGTGTTATATATTGGTTAAAATTTTTAAAATGTAGTCAAAATATGATGTACGAAAAATCATAATTTGTTTCAAGTATGTATAAAACTATGCATCATAGGTTAAAATATATACATGTACATATACGTAATGTATATTTTAACAAAATATAATTATTATGTCGTATTTAGTGCAAATATGAAATAAAGTGATTTCTGTTTCCTTATTTGTTGTTCGTATAATTGTATAAGTAATATTGAACAAAAATTAATAATGTGCTAATTGTTATAGTTAATAAGCTTTTATTACATTATAAACAACATGTTTCCACAGATATCCATTAAACTGATAATTTATCGAGATCGATATGCCCCAAGGTCATATTAAAATCGATTTCACACGCGACGTGTCATTCTTGATTTATCTATGACAAAATACAATAAACAGTCAAAAATATGTTATTAAAATGCTGACCATATTGTAGAATCTGCTGACCAGTTAGATATATAGAGAAAAATATATTTAAATGCTACGAAATTGTTACTCATTATGCAAATTTAATATATTTTATAAAATAATGTCGACATTTAATTAAGTAAAAACACTGCTGACCAATTTAATGTTAATTCAAATTGATTTAAGCCGTAAAACTCTCTTATTCTATATGGTCAGCAAATTTAACGCTCTTTACATTCAGGCGAGAAAATGCTGACCAGTTAAACATATAGACATGTAGTAGAATCTGCTGACCAGTTAAATATATAGGGAAACTGCTGACCAGTTAGAAATATAGAAAAAAATATATTTTGTCGTGAAATTTTAATTCATTTTATAATGTACGAAATTCAATATATTGTATAAAATTTTGTCGACATTTAATTAAGTTAAAACACTGCTGACTTATTTAATATTAATTCAAATTGCAATTATTGCTTTTGAAAATACATTTTTTTTCCGTTACAAGATTTTTCTATTGAAATATCACTAACAAGAGATTTTGATAAAACTCATAACATCATAATTCTTTATAAAACATTAATTCAAATTTTTGCATATCTTTAGAGGTATAAAAAGCTGTTTAATATATCCTTCTAAAGTCACGGATTTATATTACATGTAGTAATGTAAATCCGTGTTAAAATGTATGATATTATGGTACTTTAAATGTATATATTAATTTAGTTTATAAACATAGTCATATAAATGCAAAAATTAAAAATATAATTAAAAGAATAAAAGTAATTTCCCATCTTTTTATTACCCCCTACGGCGTGTTTATATAACTTCACACCTTCAATGTTTCCCTTCTTTATGTAACTGGTCAGCATTTTCCGATAATCCTTCTTTATTTAACTGGTCAGCAGTTTCCTATATATCTATATCGTCAGCTAATTCGTCAGCAGTTTAGTGCGACCCCTTCCATGATCGCACCGTTTGTCGGTGAGTTAGTAAATTCTGACCAAGCACCGGTAGACGCACGACAATGCGATCAATATTATTCCAAATGTCGCTTCGCATTGTCGAGTGTCGCTTCGCGTTGTCGAGTATCGCTTCGCGTTGTCGAGTGTCGCTTCGCATTGTCGAGTGTCGCTTCGCAATGTTGAGCGTCGCGGTGTAAAAATCATAAAAATAACGCGACATTTACTCGACATTTTAAAAATGTCGCTTCGCGATGTCGAGTGTCACTTCGCATTGTCGAGCGTCGTATCGCATTGTCGCGTTGTCGTTTCGCATTGTCGAGTGTCGTGGTATGCACTTCTACCAACCTCGACACTCGACAATGCGAAGTGACAATGCGACAACGCGAAGTGACATCGCGACAACGCGAAGTGACATCGCGACAACGCGAAGCGACGCTCGACAATGCGAAGCGACACTCGACAACGCGAAGCGACATTTCTTAAATGTCGCCCTTTTTTACCGCGACATTTCTAGGCGACAGTGCGACATATCGTTTGACACTGTCGAGCGTCGCTTCGCATTGTCGCATATCGCTTCGCGTTGTCGAGCGTCGCTTCGCATTGTCGCGATGTCACTTCGCATTGTCGTGTGTCTACCCTTAGATGCGACGGACGACATTCTAAATGGCACGATAAGGACACCGTACATTTGACATAATAATGATAATAACATTTTCACTTTCTTACGGTGTCCTTATCGTGTCATTTAGAATGTCGTCCGTCGCGTCTAAGGGTAGACACACGACAATGCGAAGTGACATCGCGACAATGCGAAGCGACGCTCGACAACGCGAAGCGATATGCGACAATGCGAAGCGACGCTCGACAGTGTCAAACGATATGTCGCACTGTCGCCTAGAAATGTCGCGGTAAAAAAGGGCGACATTTAAGAAATGTCGCTTCGCGTTGTCGAGTGTCGCTTCGCATTGTCGAGCGTCGCTTCGCGATGTCACTTCGCGTTGTCGCGATGTCACTTCGCGTTGTCGTATTGTCACTTCGCATTGTCGAGTGTCGAGGTTGGTAGAAGTGCATACCACGACACTCGACAATGCGAAACGACAACGCGACAATGCGATACGACGCTCGACAATGCGAAGTGACACTCGACATCGCGAAGCGACATTTTTAAAATGTCGAGTAAATGTCGCGTTATTTTTATGATTTTTACACCGCCACGCTCAACATTGCGAAGCGACACTCGACAATGCGAAGCGACACATGACAACGCGAAGCGATACTTGACAACGCGAAGCGACACTCGACATTGCGAAGCGACATTTGGAATAATATCGTATCGCATTGTCGTGCGTCTACCGGTGCTTGGTCAGAATTTACTAACTCACCGACAAACGGTGCGATCATGGAAGGGGTCGCACTAAACTGCTGACGAATTAGCTGACGATATAGATATATAGGAAACTGCTGACCAGTTAAATAAAGAAGGATTATCGGAAAATGCTGACCAGTTGCACAAAGAAGGGAAACATTGAAGGTGTGAAGTTATATAAACACGCTGTAGGGGGTAATAAAAAGATGGGAAATTACTTTTATTCTTTTAATTATATTTTTAATTTTTGCATTTATATGACTATGTTTATAAACTAAATTAATATATACATTTAAAGTACCATAATATCATACATTTTAACACGGATTTACATTACTACATGTAATATAAATCCGTGATTTTAAAAGGATATATTAAACAGCTTTTTATACCTCTAAAGATATGCAAAAATTTGAATTAATGTTTTATAAAGAATTATGATGTTATGAGTTTTATCAAAATCTCTTGTTAGTGATATTTCAATAGAAAAATCTTGTAACGGAAAAAAAATGTATTTTCAAAAGCAATAATTGCAATTTGAATTAATATTAAATAAGTCAGCAGTGTTTTAACTTAATAATTAAATGTCGACAAAATTGTATACAATATATTGAATTTCGTACATTATAAAATGAATTAAAATTTCACGACAAAATATATTTTTTTCTATATTTCTAACTGGTCAGCAGTTTCCCTATATATCTAACTGGTCAGCAGATTCTACTACATGTGTATATGTTTAAACTGGTCAGCATTTTCTCGCCTGAATGTAAAGAGCGTTAAATTTGCTAACCATATAGAATAAGAAGAGTTTTACGGCTTAAATCAATTTGAAATAACATTAAATTGGTCAGCAGTGTTTTTACTTAATTAAATGTCGACATAATTTTATAAAATAAATTGAATTTGCATACATAATAAAAATGAATTACAATTTCACGGCAAAATATATTTTTCTCTATATATCTAACTGGTCAGCAGTTTCCCTATATATCTAACTGGTCAGCAGATTCTACTATATGTTTAACTGGTCAGCATTTTCTCGCCTGAATGTAAAGAGCGTTAAATTTGCTGACCATATAGAATAAGAAGACTTTTACGGCTTAAATCAATTTGAAATAATATTAAATTGGTCAGCAGTGTTTTTACTTAATTAAATGTCGACATAATTTTATAAAATATATTGAATTTGCATACATTATAAAATGAATTACAATTTCACGGCAAAATATATTTTTCTCTATATATCTAACTGGTCAGCAGTTTCCCTATATATCTAACTGGTCAGCAGATTCTACTATATGTTTAACTGGTCAGCATTTTTCTCGCCTGAATGTAAAGAGCGTTAAATTTGCTGACCATATAGAATAAGAGAGTTTTACGGCTTAAATCAATTTGAATTAACATTAAATTGGTCAGCAGTGTTTTTACTTAATTAAATGTCGACATTATTTTATAAAATATATTAAATTTGCATAATGAGTAACAATTTCGTAGCATTTAAATATATTATTCTCTATATATCTAACTTTTCAGCAGATTCTACAATATGGTCAGCATTTTAATAACATATTTTTGACTGTTTATTGTATTTGTCATAGATAAATCAAGAATGACACGTCGCGTGTGAAATCGATTTTAATATGACCTTGGGGCATATCGATTCTCGATAAATTATCAGTTTAATGGATATCTGTGGAAACATGTTGTTTATAATGTAATAAAAGCTTATTAACTATAACAATTAGCACATTATTAATTTTTGTTCAATATTACTTATACAATTATACGAACAACAAATAAGGAAACAGAAATCACTTTATTTCATATTTGCACTAAATACGACATAATAATTATATTTTGTTAAAATATACATTACGTATATGTACATGTATATATTTTAACCTATGATGCATAGTTTTATACATATACTTGAAACAAATTATGATTTTTCGTACATCATATTTTGACTACATTTTTAAAAATTTTAACCAATATATAACACATAGAAGAAAATTCATTAAGGTACTTAAATAAAATATTATATCAAAAAAATTGAGAAATATACAGTATATATCAATTGAATTTTTTATAATTAATATGTATCATTTGTAATATTGACATCTTGAAAAAACATTTTATCAAGTATTTCTCGACCTCGCCTGTAATATCACCAACGGCAATTTGACACCTTCATTGTTTTCCCTTCTTTATCTAAGTGGTCAGCAGTTTTCGATAATCCTTCTTTGTTTAACTGGTCAGCAGTTTCCTATATATTCTATATCGTCAGCTAATTCGTCAGCAGTTTAGTGCGACCCCTTCCATGTTCGCACCGTTTGTCGGTGAGTTAGTAAATTCTGACCAAGCACCGGTAGACTCACGACAATGCGATACGATATTATTCCAAATGTCGCTTCGCATTGTCGAGTGTCGCTTCGCGTTGTCGAGTATCGCTTCGCGTTGTCGAGTGTTGATTCGCATTGTCGAGTGTCGCTTCGCAATGTTGAGCGTCGCGGTGTAAAAATCATAAAAATAACGCGACATTTACTCGACATTTTAAAAATGTCGCTTCGCGATGTCGAGTGTCACTTCGCATTGTCGAGCGTCGTATCGCATTGTCGCGTTGTCGTTTCGCATTGTCGAGTGTCATGGTATGCACTTCTACCAACCTCGACACTCGACAATGCGAAGTGACAATGCGACAACACGAAGTGACATCGCGACAACGCGAAGTGACATCGCGACAACGCGAATGCGACGCTCGACAATGCGAAGCGACACTCGACAACGCAAAGCGACATTTCTTAAATGTCGCCCTTTTTTACCGCGACATTTCTAGGCGACAGTGCGACATATCGTTTGACACTGTCGAGCGTCGCTTCGCATTGTCGCATATCGCTTCGCGTTGTCGAGCGTCGCTTCGCATTGTCGCAATGTCACTTCGCATTGTCGTGTGTCTACCCTTAGACGCGACGGACGACATTCTAAATGGCACGATAAGGACACCGTACTTTCTAGTATTCTTATTGTACAATTTGGAATAAAGAAGCCATATGTATATAAAACTAAGTACTGGAAGCGCATGCATTTGAAATATACACACCATGTTATATTAATTAGTGTTATTTATAAAAAAAACAAAAACACTTAAATACTAGAACAATGCTGTTCTTGCTCAAAATTGAGCCGCGTCACGACAAAACCAACCTAATGGGTTTGCGATCAGCATGGATCCAGACCAGTCTGCGCATACGCGCAGTCTGATCAGGATCCATGCTGTTCGCTGTCAGTTTCTCCACTTGTAATAGAGTTGATAAGCGATCAGCATGGATCCTGATCAGACTGCGCGGATGCGCAGGCTGGTCTGGATGCATGCTGGTCGCAAATCTATTATGTTGCTTTTGTCATGACGCGGCTCAAATGTACATCTAACTTTTCAGGCAACGTTGGCATGCAATGCTAGTGGTGAAATAGAACAAAACAGTTTATCCTTACAAAAAACTGTGTCAAATGCTGAATCGTGTGGAAATTTTCAACCCAATCTGTCTTCAAAATGCGAAGGTAACTAAAGAAATATTCTTAGAAATTTTTAATATTCTATATGTTCAGTATTTCAATCAAGGACATTTTTTTCTCGACACACATGCCAATGACTTAGGAAGATGCGAATATTTAATCGACTATTATAAACAGGAACGTGTTATTCTCACAGACACTTGGGGTGTGGACCTTAAAACGCCTTTAAAATCCAAATAAAATTTATAGTTGTCAATCCCAGCACATATACTGATCCTATATATTATATATATATATATATATATATATATATATATATATATATATATAATATATATATATATATATATATATATATATATATATATATATAAATAAAACAAAAAAACACAGTCCATGAGTTAACTTATTTAATTATTTGCCAACGGTTTCTCTTATGATCATAAGAGAAACCGGTTGGCAAATAATTAAATAAGTTAACTCATGGACTGTGTTTTTGTTTTATTTATATGTGACTTTTTTCCGGCACTTGTTTTCATTTTTTGTATATATATATATATATATATATATATATATATATATATATATATATATATATATATATATATATATATATATATATATATATATATATATATATATATATATATATATATATATATATATATATATATAACTTAATATAAGCCATTTTGAAAAAAATTCAAATTTCAACGTCTATATATAATAATACATTATCATAGACGTTGAAATTTGATTTTGGATACTTAGAAATATACAAGGTCGCATTCTTGTTTCCAAACATTTTCAGACGTTACAACATTTGTGACTTAGTTTGTAAAATATTTCCTCACCTCTTCACATATACGCACATCTTGTAATTAAAAATTACCGCAGTGTCTTAAAATTTCTTTTACTTTCAGATGTTAAACCTAAAGTTGGAAAGGTGACAATTTTACCACCAAAGAAACCACTGATGTCCCAGATATATACAATAATAACTGTTATATCAGTGCTTGTGACTGTGGGGACAGTTGTAACTGTTGCTTTTATACGAAAACAACGGACCATATGTAAGTACAACACTGTTTATTTATTATTGTTAAAAGGTCCATTATGTTCCAGAAATGTTTTTAATAATTATTTCTCAAAAGCTTTTATTGATAGTGTTTTCTATTATAAATTACAAAAACTTAAAAAATGACCAACTACATGTACCTGAACCATCTTTTGATTATATTGCTTGATGACAATTAGTTCAGTTATAACGATTTAGATGTTGCATGGAAGTCAAAATACATGTACTTTATACTGTGTTTACTTTTTTGCTACATTTATGATTAATAATTTTACATTCGGAGCTACTTTTTCAGATAATAAGCATCTAACATGCTCTAAAGCTATTTAAAACTTATATTTGTCCTTTCTTAAGAAGGAAACATTAATTCATTCCCGAGGCATAATGTGCCTTTAAAAACATTTTCCACAACAGTGGTTTCGTTTAACACGCGGTAGTCGCCTGGTGCGAGGGAAGTCTCACTGGTTAATTTCGATACTGGAACTTATGTCGTTCTCAATTGGTTCTCACGTGCTACATCAAAATGTAAGGCACGCGGATTTATAGAACACTGAAGTAAATACAAGTAATACTATGGTGGCTGATTTGTGCCATTCGTGTTTTCGCCCCGCGACCCCGCCAAAGCAAAAAGTCGAAAATTAACAAGTTAAAATGGCGGGGGCGCGGAGCGAAAACACACTAATTAGCGAGGGCGCGGGCGAAGTTTAATAAATAAAACTTCGCCGCGCGCCCTCGCTAATTAGTGTCCGCGGGCGCGGAGCGAGATTTAAGAAATAAAACGGCGGGGTCGCGGAACGAAAACACGCTAATTAGCGCGGGCGCAGGGCGAAGTTTAATAAAAATATCTTCGCCGCGCGCCCTCGCTAATTAGCGTGTTTTCGTCCCGCGACCCCGCCAAGCGATAAGTCGAGAATTGACAAGTAAACATGGCTGGGGCGCGGAGCGAAAACACGCTAATTAGCGGGGGCGCTAATTAGCGTGTTTTCGCTCCGCGCCCCCGCCGTTTCATTTCTTAAATCTCGTCCCGCGACCCCGCGGGGGAAGTTTTTTTTAATTAAACTTCGCCCCGCGCCCCCTCGCTAATTAGCGTGTTTTCGTCCCGCGACCCCGCCGTTTTAACTTGTTAATTGTCGACTTTTCGCTTGGCGGGGTCGCGGGGCGAAAACTACTACTACTACTAATCCTCTTCGCTCCAGGTGGAGCAAAAGGCACCAACAAATCTCCTCCAGCCATCCCTGTCCTGAGCTAACCAGTTCAGCTCGTTCCAGGTCTTGCCTGCTGCCTTCATCTCTTCCTCGATGGTTCTCCTCCAGGTTCCTAGTGGACGACCTCTCTTCCTCTGGCCTTGTGGTGTCCATCTCAGTACTTTGTGAGGATGTCTCTGCTTGTTCATCCTCAGAACATGACCCAGCCATCTCCATCGTCTGGACTTGACCTCTTGAACAATGTTGGTGATCCCGGAGCGTCTGTTGACCTCTACGTTAGTGACATGTTGTTGCCAGCGGATCTTGAGAATGCGGCGTAGACAGCGACTCTCGAAGCCTCTTAGCCTACTCTCAACCTTGGTGTTGGTTCTCCAGGTCTCAGACGCGTACAGAAGGACTGAGCGGACATTGGATGTGTAGATCTTCAGTTTTGTTTTGGTATGCAGGGCTGTAGACTTCCATATGTTCTGTAGTCTCTTGAATGCCTGGGCTGCAAGTCCAATCCTGGTTGAGATCTCTTTCTCAATGTTACTATCAGCTGAGATGTAACTCCCAAGGTACTTGAAGTCTTTCACCTCTTCCAACTCAGTGTTGTTGCTGCTGATTTTCTGGCTGCGTTTGGTCTTCACCTTCATCAGCTTTGTTTTCCCAGCGTGTATTTTTAGTCCTACACCTTTGGCAGTTTTGCTGACACGATCTGTCTTCTCCTGCATATCATTTTGTCCATGGGAGAGCAATGCGATGTCGTCAGCAAAATCACAGTCTTCCAAGCGGGCAGTCAGTCCCCATACTAGACCTCTGTGTCTATCTTCAGTGGCTTTCCGCATCACCCAGTCAATTACAACAAGGAACAGCGTTGGTGAAATAACACAGCCTTGGCGTACACCAGTTTTTACGTGGAACCATTCGCTTTGCTGTCCATCATGACGTACAGAGCACTGGTTGTTGGCGTACATGTCCTTAAGGATGTTGACAATTTTTGGCGGAAATCCATATGCTAGGAGTATCTTCCGCAATGATGGGTGGTGTATGCTGTCGAACGCCTTTTCATAGTCTATGTAATTGATGTACAATGAAGAGTTCCATTCAAGGGATTGCTCCACTATTGTCCGAAGAATGAAGATCTGGTCTGTGCAGCTTCTTCCGCTCCGAAACCCTGCTTGCTCCTCTCTAACGAAGAATGAAGAACAACTAGAAAGATGGGCTGAGCACTTCGAAGAAATCCTTAACAGGCCAGACCCGGAGGAGGAAGCTTCTGTTGAAGACATGGGATTCCATAAAGAGATGAAGCGTGGCAGTATCACCCAGCACGAAATCATAGAGGCCATCAAGCAGACGAACGGAAACAAAGCTCCCGGGGAAGACAAAATCACTTCAGACATGTTGAAAGCTGACCCCCGAGAGAGTGCAAAGCACCTTGTGGAACTATTCAACGAGGTTTGGGAAGAAGAAAGAGTCCCTGACTCATGGAAGAAGGGTGTCATCGTGAAACTGCCGAAGAAGGGAGACCTGACTCAGTGCGGCAACTGGAGGGTATCAACTTGTTATCCGTTCCTGGAAAGATATTCTGCAGAGTTCTTCTATCAAGGATGAAGCAGTCTATTGAAAGAGTCAGGGACTCTTTCTTCTTCCCAAACCTTGTTGAATAGTTGATGTCATCCGCTGGCGTGCTTTCTAGGATGTCAAATCGGTTTTTCAGTGTCAAGTTGAACTGGGTTTTCACATTCAGGTCCTTAAGTTTGTTGGAGTCAAATAGCTGTTGCTTATTCTTTTTTCCGCTACTCCTCAATTTCAGTTGTAGCTTACATAGCACAAGGTTGTGGTCACTGCCTGCGTCTGCACCCCTGATGGCTCTTACATCTGTCATGGATCTTCTCCGTTTCCTGCTGATGGCGATATGGTCAATCTGGTTGCTGGTCCTGCCATCTGGCGAAAGCCAGGTTGACTTGTGTATGTCCTTATGTTTGAACACTGTACCTCCAATAACCAGTCCATTTTCCAGGCATAAGTCAGAAAAACGTTGACCATTGTCATTTCGGTCGCCAAGTCCTTCACAACCCATGCAGGTTTCATATCCGATGTTATCAGAACCAACCTTGGCATTAAAGTCCCCCATCACAATGAGAATATCATGCTGTGGTGTTTTGTCTATTTGATCCTGTAAGTTGGTATAGAAGTTGTTCTTGACTTCATCAGAATCACGTTCAGTTGGGGCATAACATTGGATGACAGTTGTTTTTACAAACTTGGAGTAGAACCGTGCTCGTATTTATTGGTTCCCATTCCAGCATACTTTTCTTCGCTTCTTTGTTTAGTATCAGACCCACTCCCTCCTGGTGTAAACCATCCACACGACCAGAATAGCAAATTGTCTCTCCAGAGTTGATTGTTATCATACCAGAGTCAGTCCATCTCATTTCACTTACACCGAGGATACACCTGGGCACACTTTCCTGTCTCGTACATGGTACGAACGTTCCATGCCGCTACCTTGAGCAGCTGTTTGGGTGATGCTAAGGACGTTGTCGGAGCAGACGCTTCCTTTCGGCTTTGACTCCTGCTCGTCATATGAGATGCTAGTGTCTCTGCCCTCGGCGTTTCACCCAGGTGTTGATAGTTTTCTGAAGTTGTTGGCGTTTCTGTAGCGAGATGTTTTTTACGTGGCGAGTTGCTAGCCCAGCGCACAACCCTCCTCCTTTCTCATCTAGGGCTTGGGACCTAGCAACGGCGGAGTTGCGGGGCGAAAATACGAATGGTTAAAATCAGCCACCATATTATACAGATAGTAAAGTCCTAGCGGGAAAAGAAATACAGTTATTTGTCACTTCAATATTTCATGTGATTTAAAATTGTATACAATCAATGTATATGTTAACATGTTTACTTATCATATTCATTATCCAGTGTTTTATATATTGAAGCGTTTTAACAATACTCCAGTACTTACACAGCAGCATTCGAATGTCTGAATTTAGACATATGTATATATCTTCTTTTTTTCAACATATTTTATTTTGTTGCTTGCATGTCATGTATACATGCTTACTTTGTCATTTCAGCCAATCGGAAAAGACGTTCGAGTGAGATAGGTAATCCTGTAGAAGGCGAGGGTTTAGTATTTGATACTTCATTATAGAGAAGAGGGTTCCTTTCTCTAAATCAATAAGATGTTGGAAATTGCCGTGATCGTTTATTGAATCCATCTGATCATCTGATCTTCTATGGCGACTTCAACAAACGTGGCGTAGGACATCAACATACATGCTGAATTTATATAGAGTCTTCTTTTATTATGACCCTTAATTATTCTAGGGGTAATGTTTCTAGTAACAACCGAAGATACTCGCACCATTGTATGAAAGAGAAGATATACATGTTTGTATATGTTACACTGAAGTGTAACTGCAACAGAAACAATACGCGGAAGGGAAAATGTGTTCACGATATGACTGTAGTGCATTGTCACTGATGTTCTCTATTCATTATTTCAATCATTTAATCAAAACTTATTCTGCAAAAGTCATTATGAATTTGTAATCTATGATCTTGAAGGATCAGAAAACCTTCTAGTCGGATTTTCTGTCATACAGAGAAATCAGTACTAATATAATGTAAATACCTCATACGCTATATGTTGTTTGCTGTCTGCGTCACTTAGGTGGGCGTTCATTTATATACATGTACCAATGATATCTTAAATGTCTCATTATGTGATTTAACTTTTCTTTTTAATGGACAAAACAGAATCATAAGTGCATGTTAATTTAGTTTTCCTCAATGTGACGGGTATTTATGTTTATTGGATAACAAGGAGACAGAAATATATTTACTACATTTAATATGACAGAAACAAAAAAGAAATATGAGCGACTATGATGTTCTCGCCAATTTTGTCATAAAAAATGAGTGTGGGTTGTTCTTGTTGGGTTTTCCCTGAAAAAAAAAACAACAACGTCTCTATTACAAACTACAAATGAATAAACATAATCAATCAATTTATTTAATTATTTCTTGAAACCATTTTTCTTCAAATAAGCAACAAAACGGTTTTTCTGTTCATAAGGTAACATGAAACTGCTTCAATGGTGAATAACACTACGACTTCATTTCTATTCAAAAACATTTGAGCCGTGTCATGACAAAACCAACATAATGGGTTTGCGACCAGCATGGATCCAGACCAGCCTGCGCATCCGCGCAGTCTGATCAGGATCCATGTTGTTCGTTATCAGTTTCTCTACTTGTAGTAGAGTTTGTAAGCGAGCAGCATGGATCCTGATCAGACTGTGCGGATGCGCAGGCTGGTCTGGATCCATGCTGGTCGCAAATCCATTATGTTGGTTTTGTCGTGACACGGCTCAATTATTACAAATGTGATAGACCCGTGCTTTTCATTTTTGGAAAGAAGATCGTTTATTCCATTATTTCATTTTCAACTCTTTAATAACTAACCATGCAAGTAATAGAAAATGTAAATTATTTAATTATAATTTAAAGTATTCATTGTCGTCTATAAAGTATTCGAACATAGTCTTTATAAAGTATTCACTTTAAAGGAAAATTTTCAGTCATATTTAAAAATATCTCTTTAAAAATGTAAATAAGTTTACCTTTTTTATCCAAGAAGATGCATTTCTGCTCGCAAGTGCTAAAAAGACATAAGTATGTCAATCATACAGATTAGTGTATTGACTTTTTAAGTTAAAATTACTAATAGGAAGTATCTATACTATTTTGTTTTGTTGGTAAATTATGTTTTTTAACAACATGTGTAAATATATAAATAATATTGCTATATTTTATACAAGTAATTGAATACACGACTGCTATACTAGTTGCTTTGTTAATTATACCATGTATTATCATTTTCATCATTCCTCGATACATGGTGAAGATGTTTTGACATTTGGTAACCATATCTATAGCCTTTCTTCGTTTATTTATCTTGTTTACAATACGGTATTATGTTTCCTAATTGAGTCATTATATCATTTTAATTGTGTCGCTATTCAACATATGACAACTATGTATGATTTACCTTACCTGGAAAATATATTGCTCTAAAAGATGCTTTTCTTTAACCGGCAACACTGTTAACAATAAAATGGAGATTTCATTAAAATCAAAATCGGAATTCTCAATAAGTATTATTTGAAATGTAAAATTAAACATAAAGAACATTTTAGAATGAGATAGAGTAATCGGTATGATGTTTATTTTACTGGATATGTAACATCGACATTTGTTCAATATTGTTATAAGTTGTCTGTTGTTACCTAATATATATCCTTGACTAAATAAAGAAATATTGTATTGAAAAATAGTGTTTCGTATTAGATAGATACGCATGTTACATTTATACTTAATCTTAGATTGATAAAACATACAAAATTAGACTAAGAAATAAATATTGGTGGAAAAAGAAGACATTCACTCAGAGTTTATGTTAGGTCGGAAAAGTTCGGCACAAGTCGTGACATTCCGTGACAATGAAACGTCTACGAATAAGATTTTAAAAATGATTTCGAGTAATAAATTTACTGTCAATTATCCTGAGAACGGTAGAGTAGCCGATCTGGTCAATATGAGCCGTCAACGTGTTATTTTCAGCTGCTGTCAACATCTGTATAATAAGTGTCTGATTGGCTTGAGACAGCTGTTGGAAAGCAGGGTCGGCCTTGGCGGTATTCAATACTTCAACAAGACTTCTAATGCTTCTCTTTCCTAGTGCCTATTTATAGATTATTGTATATTCAGAATATATTGGAGTCACCAGTTTGAAACATAACATGTTTGACGCCTTACACAAAATGAAGTAATATATGATATATACAATATAACCATGACTTAGAGGCAATCTTGTGCTAAACCCAACTTCAAAATGGAAAATAATTCTAAAAAGAGTTATCACTAAAGGCCATCATTTGTGTTATATGTATTTGTGATATGTAATCGTTGTTCAAATCTAACCATTATCCTGCTGAATTTGTGAAATGTATTTGCTCTGTTTTGCATTAATTTTAGTATCATTATACAAAAATTGACCCACGACCAACCAATATTAGCAGACTGGTCAGTCCGCAGGTTGGCCTGGGTATGCTTTTTCTGCAAAGGCAGATAGATCACTTCCTTATTGTTAGTTAAGTGTTAAGATCTTGAAAATCAACGACCTCTCATTCGCTGAGCCAATGGCTTGTCAAATAGATGCATGTACATGCATGTTTATTAAAAAGAAACTATACCGCATGATTTACACAAAATATTGACAAAACTTCTGAACTGTATGTCCTCGTTTACTTTGGTAGTTTGTTGTACATAATTTCTTCTATGCAAATGTTATATATATAATTATACAAAAAACAAAAACAACAAAAAAACCACCAACAATTTAACCTCACTATCAACTTACTCCTGAACCTTGATTCTCCTCCTTGGCAAGCTCCTACAATATACAAACTTCGTTATGTTAAATTCATTTCCACATAGCAGTGAGCAAAAAATAATGAAGCAATTCAGACAGTGTTTACATGTTTTCCAGAATAATCATACAATAAAATTATGTATTACCAGAACATGCTGCCAGAGATTTAAATTCATGTAAAATCATTTGAAATAATGATATGGAGGACAAAATCTTATTTTCATTTCCTTGCAATTTTAGAAATTTAAGTGTCATTATAGTATGCTAAATAAAAACGTACGTTTATTAGGTAGTTTGTCAACAAATGTGCCTCTGCTTGGGGAAGCTCTACAAAATACATGTATCACATATATGAAAATTGAAAAATAATATAATAATAGAATATTTTTTCAGAAAATATTCTTTAAAATAAACGAACACGATTTTTGTTTTACATTGTTATACTATGCCGAAAATATATTAGAAACAGATAGGGAAAAAACGAAGCAAACATAGTTTGACTTAATATTTATATTACTTATATTTTAGTCAGTATGTCATAAAATTTGTCTCTACACTGAGTTAGCATAATTATCACTGAAAAGGAGATATCCATGATTCAATCCGTGCTTTACTCTACCAATCAACATCCATACAATTGTGAATCCTAACTTTAAATATCTAAATAAACAATTTAGTTTTGCTGATCTAAATGAATTTAATAACTTACTATCAATAACAGCGAGGACATTGTGAAATCCAACAGAGTCAATATATTGCTTCAATTCCCCAGCCTCGGTCTCAGCTAACAATTCGATGATCAGCAATTGTTCGGGGTGTGTCAAATTTTTAAACGCAGGAGAATTGTGCGCAGCATTTAGTGCGTCAATGAGGGAAGCAGAAGACACGTACAGACTGGCTAAGAACACAAACAAACACAGCAAGGACTTCATGTTTTGTCTGAAATAAGAAATTATTAAAGATTATTAGGTAACAGTCTTTCTCCCATTTATGTAAAAAAATCTTAAAAAATTAGATGATATCATGTTAAGTGCGAGACTTATGCGAACATTAAGATGGAAATCTTCTACATTTTACAGACACATTTGTAATAATAGTATTTTAAAGTTAATTCAATATCAAAGAAAAAGTTTGCATAGATTTTAGTTGAGCTGGGTTATTTTCAGGTCCATTAAGCCAAAAATATTTCTCAAAAACTTTAATTTTTGGTCTGTTATAAAGCTTCCAAAAATACTCATTGGCCACACACATGACCCATCTTTGCTTCTGTTGCGTTGTAAGAATAGTTATACAGTTATAGTGATTCAATACTTTGCATGGAAGTTGAAATACCACTTTATTTACATTTTGCTAACTTGTGTGACAAATTATTTCACATTCAGTGCTACATAAACAACAATTTTGCTCTGAAATTATTATTGCAACATTATAGAACGTATGTTTGCCCTTTCCGTAGCAGTAACAATTTATTTGTTTATAAGGCTTAATGTGTGTGATTAAAATCTAAATCTAAATGTTACAAATACATAAATACAATAAAGAAAACAACTTACCTCTTTGCGACAGTACTATAAATTCGTTAATGATACCGGAATGATAAGGAATATTTTCATAACGCTATTGTCTATATATAGCTTTATATTGTCATGCAAGGATTTTTTATGTCATCGCACTATTCCATGCTATTTAGTCACTGTTTCTGAACTGTAAAGAAATAATGACTCTAATCTTTATAAAATTGGGACAAAAGTTAGCTAAACAGGCGTCATAGATCTTCTAACGCAGAACATAAATTATTGTAGACCTTCTTGTACTGAAATAAACCTTTCATCTATTAAACGGTTGAAATTGATTAGCAGCGTTTCTAACATGCAACTATTTTCAACTTTGAAGTTTAAAAGTTATGAAGAGGACACAACATTGTTGAATTTTAATCTGTATATGTGAAGTTGAGCTTGGGGGTAGCAACCTGAATATTGCGCACCACACATCGTGCAATTGTGCAAAATCATTTTAAAAACTTTTCAGTAGTTTAAAAGTTAAGGAGATGACAGGCAAATGTGAACTTTGTTATTTGACCTTTGCGGTAGCCAACTGGATGTACATTGCGTGTCGCAAGGTAGATGTTGCGCTCTGTAGATTGTGTCATGGTGGGGATCATTTGTACCAAGTAATTTTTAAACCTTTGAATTGTCAATGAGTTATAGAGCGGACACTTGACGTTTAAAATAGAGAAATACAGAATCCTTAAAGAAAGCCCAACACGACAAAATTAAAAATGTTGCAGGCTCGGTTTGATTGTGCCTGTTCATGGACGGTACTGGAAGGTGCAAGTTACCGTTCACGCCCCCTAGCACCGGCTTAAGCAGAATGCAACATTTAAAATTGAAAAATGGTGAAATTTTGAATTTAGAGACATCAGCATATGTGTTCATACGGCGATTATCATGGAACCTTCAATATGACACAGTAGTGCCATTCCATGAAAAGTGGCGTATGGTCCCCAAGTTAAAGAATGCGTGTGCCCTAAACGAGAAACTAAACAAAATGGAATTTTGAAAGGGGATCCGAGGTTATGAAGCCTGCGTTTCACAGACAAGACGCCAAAAGACAAATTTAAAAAGCAGGCAACATATCATAAGGGTGATTATACAGTATTCAACTAGGAATACTGGAACCTATCAAGTTGAAAAAAGGCCAAATAGAAGAAACTAAAAATACCACATAACAGGTATACACAACAATAATGTCTTGCTGAACGATCTTTAAGGATCGAAAATATAACATCATTGATTAAATGTACGGGGAGACTTTTTACAGAGCAACACGGCACAAATAACACGGATGTGACAATAAAATAGAGAAATACAAATGTCAACTTGATCTTGGGGGTAGCAACTCTGCACATCCTCACATAATTGTGAGCACTTGTGCCAAGTTATTTCAAAAAAGGCTTTTGAGATTCGATAATGTTTGACCTAATTATGGCCCTTTGTTTTTTCCCTTATATGGAAAATATAGGGAACAATTTCTCCTTTGCGCAACTGTTCCTACATTTCTCAAGGGATTTTGGTAAAAAAAACTTTCACAGATGCTTAATCATCAAGTGCCCTGGAGCATACTGTGTCGTATAGCTGGTTGCACAGGCTAATGAGTCATACACGCTATATTCAAAAAGAATGACAAGTCAACATGTATATACATATATTAAGGTTTTTATTTCATAATGTGCACTATGGAACATGACATGATTTATGAGTATTATAGTTCAGGATACAAGCGGGCTGATCTTATGTCAAAATGATTAATATATGTAACTCTAAAACGTGTGTATTTATATACATTATAAAATGTCCTTATTGTAGTAAGCAAGTCTACAAGATATAATAAGCCACGCCTTTAATATCAAATATCGTTATTGTTACTGTGTGTATGTTTACTTGATGTTTGGGAGTTTATGAGTGTATACTTGGATGCAACACATATAATAAAATATATAAACCATCCTTCGGGTCTTGTTTAGTTTGTGTGCTAGTAAGCCATCCAAATAGAAAATATAAATGTTACATTGGCGACGAGGATCGGATACTAAAAAAAAAAAAAACAAACTGCGGATTAATTTAAACTGACTCTGTGAAAAAAAAACAGATTTGAAATTTGAAAATGGATAATTTACCTGCTTTTCCGAAATTCGATGTTTTTGCTGATGAAAATTCTCTGGGAGTACGATGGGAAAAGTATTTGGATAAATTAGAAAACTTATTTGTTGGACTGGGTATAAACACTAGAAAACGAAAAAAAGCACTGTTACTTCATTATGCAGGAGATGATGTTTACGATATCTATGATACATTGAATTTAAGAGAAGACAATGAAAACTACGAAGAAACGAAAATTGGATTAACAGCATACTTTAAGCCAAGAAAAAACACACAATTTGAAATATTCGAATTTCGTAATATGAAGCAATTGCATGGGAATCTATCGACCAGTTTACAACAAGATTACGCCAGAAAGCTAAGAATTGTGAATTTTCGGACATTGACTCAGAAATTAAAAGCCAGATCATACAGGGTGTTTATTTCACAAAACATGAGAATGCAGTGTTTACAAGATCCGGATAAATCACTTAATGACTTACTTACAAAAATGAGAACCATGGAAATATCAAAAAAACTCAAGCAGCAAATATGTCAAAGGATGAAAGTAGTCAGCAAGTAGTGCGGGTAAAAAGCAATCCTCGATTTAGCCGTCAATCAAAGGGATTCGCACTAAACGTTATCAGCAACGTTCATATCAAACTATCCCAGAAGCAAGTTTGTCGTCGGGAAGGCGAAACTACCCTCCAGAACGAAATAAAAAATGCCGAAATTGTGGAGGAAAGTATCCCCATATGTCACGTTGCCCTGCTATCGGAGCGGAATGTAATTACTGTCATAAGAAGAATCATTTCATATCGGTCTGCAGAAAACGACAAAACAAAGTGAAATTAATCGATGATGACCAGTCGGATTCACAAGATTTATCAGAGACAAGCACGCCGAGTATCAGTTCAAATGAGTGCGATGTGTTATTTGGATTTAAGATATCAGATGGGAAAAAAGTGCCAAAGAAAAGCATTAAATTAAATGGCGTAGATGTTTATGTGTTGATAGATAGCGGTTCATCGTTAAATATTATTAGCGAGATCGACCTCGGGAAAATGAAAATTCGTCCAGAAATCAAGAAAACGAAAACAAAAGCATTTGCATTTGGACAGAAATCTCCACTTCCATTCATAGGCAAATGTTCCCTGCTTGTGGAGTCGGACTCAAAATTTATGACAAAAGATTTCCATATCGTTAAAGGTAACAAAGAATCATTGATCAGTTATGAATTATCGGTAGAGCTCGGGATTTTACCGCAAATACAATCAGTTCATAAATCAGTTCAAAGCAAAGACGCATATTCAGGACTTATTGAAGAATATTCTCAAGTTTTCACAGGCTTAGGATGTCTGAAAGACAGAAAAGTTAAGTTTCATATTGATGAAAGTGTTGTACTGTAGCTCAACCGGCTAGGAGAGTTCCATTTCATGTACGTTCGCAAGTCGAAAAGGAACTGAAAAGTTTCGAGGAAATGGATGTTATTGAAAAGGTTATAGGTTTACCGACACCATGGGTTTCGAACTTAGTAGCGGCTCCGAAACCTAATGCTCCGCATGAAGTGAGAGTGTGCGTAGATATGAGAAAAGCTAACACCGCAATCAAAACAGAGAAAAATGTTTGCCCGACGGTAGATGATATCATCTTGACGTTAAACGGCGCAACGGTATTTTTCACGTCTAGATCTGTACAAAGCTTTCCATCAAATTGAATTGGATGAAGCATCACGTGTAATGACAACGTTTCAGACACATATTGGACTGTTTAGGTATAAACGTCTAAATTTCGGGGGTGTCCGCAGCACCGATAATTTTCCAAAATGAGCTTCGTCAAGCACTTCAAGGTCTTAAAGGCATATTGAATATTGCCGACGACATCATATGTTTTTGGTAAGACACATGAGGAACACGATGCCAATCTTCGCGCTTTACTGCAACGTCTTCAAGATAGAAACCTCACACTGAACAGCCAAAAATGTTCATTCGGAAAATCTAAAATCAAGTTCTACGGATACGTATTTTCCGAATCCGGAATTTCACCCGATCCTGACAAAGTAAATGCAGTGAAAAATATGGACAGACCAAAATCAATATCCGAACTCCGTTCATTTCTGGGTCTCACGAACTATTTGTCTAAGTTCATAGATGGCTATTCAAGCTTAACAGAACCATTAAGACGACTTACACATAAAGGTGTAAAATTTGAATGGACTGCCGACCAAAAGAAAAATCGTTCACATCATTAAAAGATACCTTAATTAGTGATAAGGTCATGACATATTTCGATCCTAGAAAGGAAACTGAACTATGGGTCGACGAAAGTCCAGTTGGATGCTCAGGAATACTTATTCAAAACGGCAAAATAGTATCATATGGAAGCAAAGCATACAATTCGGTTCAGACGCGATATTCTCAAACAGAAAGAGAAGCTTTGAGTGCTGTCATCATGATTCAGCATTTCCATTTGTATTTATTTGGCAAGAAATTTAAACTGATAACAGATCATGCTGCACTTCAGTCAATCTTCAACAATATCAAGACAATACAGTCACCAAGATTAGAACGTTGGCGTTTGAAGTTGACAACGTATGATTTTCAGACAGTTTATAGACCAGGTAAAATGATGATATCAGATTATCTTTCCAGGCATCCACATGCAAGACACGAAACAAATACAGTAGCCGAGCAGTATATCAGCTTTATTACTGATAACGCTTTGCCAGATGCATTGAAGCTGTCAGATGTAGCAAAAGCTACCGAAACGGACTGTATATTAAGCTGTGTAAGAAATGCGTTAGAACAAAATGACTGGAAAACTCAAAAATGCAAATTAGATGAAAATTTTCGGTTATACGAGAATTTGAATAAAAATCAAGAACTTGCAGTTGCATATACGGAAGATGGATTTGTGCTTTTACGGGGTACAAAACTTTGCATACCAGGAAGTCTGCAAAAACAAACTGTTATGCTTTCGCATGAAGGTCACCAAGGCCAATCAAAATGCAAAGGATTATTACGTGAGTATTGCTGGTTTCCACATATGGATAGAATGGTGGAAGAAATG